CGGCTTACTTCTCTTCATCTCTGTATCATCCCTCTGCACCCTCCCATCAGTACTTTAGACCAACTCAGGGTTCCACAAGCTAATACTTGAAGCAATTTTCCAAACACCATAAACACATTGTATGACACTGGTGATAGGCTCAGAAATTGTCCAACATGCAAATGGGGTGGGACAATAGAGTATGTACAGATCGCGATTTGAAAATTTTCTAAAAAAAAAAAAGAAATTCAAAAATAAAACTTGCTCTTAATAAACTTAAAAGTATGTTCAAATATAACATTTAATAACCCAATTTATTATAAAATCCAAAATGAAGTCTAATGAACATGTCAATAATTCTGAGTCATATTTATTTGGCAAATATTTTGTTAATACTTTCCTTACTTTAGCTTCCTGTTTTTGAATCCCCAAATCAACTTTTTTTCATGAAAAATCAAAGGGAATCTTCAGATACTGAGATGGGCTGATACCCTATAAAGGGCCTTTGCCTGTGAAAAGTAATGTGGCTATAAAAGGTCTTTGAAAATACCTAGGCCTTATTCATTCAATATGCAATTTCTCTGAAAGAAAATCAGAAAAAGAACTGTGTGCCTTCAAAATTTATATGCTGAAACCCTAATCCCATGTGACTATATTTGGAGATAGTCATGATTAAGGTTAAATGAGGTCCTATTCTAATAGTGTATGTAAAGAACCCAAATAAAATGAAGGGAATGTAATGACTTTTATTTTCAAACTGAATGTTTAGCACACCTTCAGATGTTCTAAAATTGCCAAGAATTGTTAAGTATTGCTAAGTATTTTCTTCTATTATATGAACTGTGTAATTTTCTTCAAGATGAAAAAGATGTAAGGTTTTTTTTTGTATTCAATATAGCAAACAATTGTGTGCTACTGTCCTTTACACTTTTCTGCTTATAGTTTTGACATTAAAGTCTATAAAAAAATGTTCCCATTTCTAATGTCTATATACCTCCACAGAGAAAAAAAGTGAAGATTTTTATTTTTTATAAAGAATTCAAGGAAGGCAAGAAATGAAATGTTTATAGTTCATCTGTTTTATAAGATAAACTTCCATTAAAGCACAACTGTGCATACCATTGTCCTTCCACAGTTTCTAATTATTTATTTTCCCTGTCCTCCAAACATTCAGAGGCACTGCATTTAAAAGAGAAGTCTTTACAACCTATGCCAAGTATAAAATAATTGCATTAATAAATAAACTATTAAACTGTGGAGCCAGAGAAAAACGTTTTCATCATTAGAGACTTTGAGATATCTGTTACTTGCTGTATCAGGATGTTTCTAAGAAGGATCACAGTGCCTGGCCATGACAGCAAATGCTACTTGGAATTGCTTTCTGCTCAGAGAGCTTCAAAGAGGAGGGGGAGGAGGAGAGAAGAAGAGAAGTTGGGAAGGAAAGGGACAGGAAGAAGGAGAGAGAGTGTGCTGAGAGGGAGAGAGAAAAGAAGAAGGATGAAAGAAGAAAGAAAGGAGGATGGATGGAAGGAAGGAAGGAAGGAAGCAAGGAAGGAAAAAAGAGGCGGGAGAGAGACGGGCAGAAAGACAGACAGACACACAGGGTAGATGGAAGCAAGCAAGCAAGCAGCAGCAAGACTAAAGCCTGGCTCTGATCTGGTACCACCTCAAGAGATGGGAGTTAAATAAAGCACCCTGAGGTTCACTGACCAAGCCCAGCTCTCCACAGAGCAAGCAAGAAATAAAGAGTATCCAAGCAAGAACATAGACAACTGATTTACCTAGAATATTGGTAGTGAACCTATGTCATGCATGTTAATGTTTTTCTTTCAAGGCAAAAGATTTTAATGTAGAGTTGTTGTTTATTTTCTAAACTAAAATTCAATATTCAGGTTTGATCGCAGTGTTGACACTTTGTGACAGATAAGTGGGTTTTGGGTTGTGGTCTGGCACTTGGCTTAAAAGGTTCACCATCACTGACCTAGAATGTCAATTCTGTCGGATAAATTACCAGAATGGCTGGCAGGCTGTAGGCCATAGCCTGTAGGTAGAAGGTGGAAGGAAAGATCTATGACCAGGAAAACATTTCCAACATCCTACTCATTTAAACAGCTTTATAAGTTGTTTAATAATTATGTTTAAGTCATTGTCCACAAAGAAATATTACTTAATATTCCAAGAAATTCACTAAATATAATTTGTAGACGTTATTATCTGATTAAGGAAAACTAAGATTCTATAACCCACAGTTCTATTTAAAAAGTTGCAACTTTAAAATCATGCAATTGTTATTTGCAATACAAAGCAGGACCACAAGGAAAAATAGTGACATCCCAAATTATTTTAATTTACTTGCTCATTTTATGATCTATCAAAAGAGAATAGATTCTATTTACTACCATAATCAGAAAGGTTAAATCTAGGCTAAAAATCACATGAAAACTGTTTTTGCATTAAGCTAGTACTAAATCATTTGCTACTAATTTTAATGTTATTTCAATTCTAATTATCAAAAACTGGGTCACAATAATCTTTCATGATTCAAAGCTTGTATTTACAACTGAATGATTTAAAAATATACTATTCTGTCATATTAACTATTTGGAATTAAAGGCATTCCATCCAAGTGTTGAGAAACAGAAGGTGCAAAAACATTACTCTGACCTTATTCTCGTTCTTCAAATGCAGATGAAAAATCCTATATGAATGTGCAGTAACAACCTGTCTGAAACGACAGTGTGGCAGTGGGAGATGGCTTAAGAAATCTGTACAGACCTTGTTAAAATGACCCCTGCACGTGTGTGTGTATGTGTGTGTGTGTGTGTGTGTGTGTGTGTGTGTGTGGTACTAGAGATCGAAGCAAGGCCTTCTGCACTAAGCTACATCCCCAGCCTTATTTATGTTTTTTTTTATTGAGTTTATTGGTACAATCTAGGTCTACAATACTGTTACATTTTTTAAACAGGGTCTCCCTAAATTGCTAACTTACCTAGGCTGAGCTCAAACTTGTGATCCCTCTCTCTCAATCTTCCAGAATAACACGTTAACTCCTGCCTCCCCCGACACACATAATTGACTTTTTCACAACTTGCTACTCTTTGTCCAGTTAATTCTGTGAGTTTTAGCTCTTGTTTCTGTAGTTCTTCATCTCCTCATGGGGGTTCTAGGGCAGGGTAAAACTTGTATTAACTCATCATAATAATGTGTACAGTTTCCTCCTGTTAATCTACCTTACATCAATTTAATCTTCAGACCTGTCAGGACCCTCAGAGGATGGAGAGGCAGTTTTGCAACCCCCATATATGCAACAAATTGAGCATCGAAAGATTCTCTCCAAAATTCATGACAAATAGCACATACTGTCTCATAGCATACCATTCTCACGTGCGGAAAGTTAGTAATCAGCCTGGCCTTACCTCACTATACAGCTCAACCTGGCCTCAACTCTCATTCCTCCTGCCTCAGACTCCTGAGTGAAGCAGATTTTAAAGGTAAAAGGCTGTACAAAATTAATATCTCATAATCCCAAGAGATAATCCAATTCTTTGATATGCAATAAAAATACTTATTAAATAAGTGATTAAGAAAGTAGATGCCATAGTTAAATGTAGTAGAATGAAATCCCAATTAGCCTAAGACTTATGTGATGGAAAAAACAATATAAACATTATCTACTTGATAGGGGTCCTGTGAGGATTAGCTTACCAAAAATTATAAAACAAACTAGTACCAAAGATTCAATAAGTGGCACTATTCTGCTGATTCTTAGTAAATACTAGACTTTGCTATTGAGATCATAGATGTCAATATAAAAAGAAATTCATCAAGGTCTCTGTCCCAGGAGTTTATGTTCTAATAACAGAAACTTAAACTTTAACAAAGCCCTAAATTGCCATGTTTTCCCTTGCAAATGGTAAATTGCTACCCACTCCCTCGGAAACACAACTTGCACTTCAATCACCAAAAGTACCTAACTAAGGACAAGACCATCAGTGGCCAGAGATGCAGGTTAAAGAGAATGCTGCAGAAATGTCAACCTGCACCCTGTACAGGAAGTCTGTAAAGTACTGTGGTAACTATCAAACTTGAACCTCATACCTCGTAACAGAAAGACAAGTGTTAGCTTTTAGTGGAAAAACTAATACCCCCCCACCAACCCTGAAGAAAACCACAGCTATTTTGGGTTTAACTTTGAGAAATGGATGAAGGTGCTCTTTCTACTGTAAAACATCATCTCTTGCATCGTTCAATTATGTCAAAATACCAGGGACCTATCATTAGGTGGTAGGGCCCCTCCTCTGGGTTCCAGAGTTCTGCTTTTCTATTGTTTCATACCGACTTCTTACATCTGTCTTCCACCCTAGACTGTAAGCACTTCCATTCCACTTTACATCCTTTCCATTTAGCACAATGACTTGCACCAACTTCAATGATGCATTCTGAATCAGTAAGTACTGCCAAGCATGTGCTCAGATGCAAAGATAAAAACACTGAAAATAGGCTCCCTGCCAAAGAAGAACAAACAACTCAACTCAAATATGATGACTGCAGTCATGAAACACTATAATACCAAGCATGGAGGGAATATGTGGGAAGGAATACTCAGACAGAATTGACTGGGCGTGGTGGCACACACCTGTAATCCCAGCACTGGGGAGGCTGAGGCAGGAGGATTGCTGTTTTGAGACCAGCCTGGACTACATAGTGAATTCTAGGTCAGTCTCAACTACATAGTGAGACCCTGTCTCAAAAAAACCAAAGAAAAAAATAAATAAATAAAAACACAATTAATGGAAGAGATGTTCCCCCAATTAAATACGAGAGAGCTCAGAAGTCCCAGGTACTCATAAGTTGTAGAGGCCTAGGTACAATACAAATGACATTAGGAAGAAAATCTGAATAGAGAAGAAAGAAAAGGTTGAATAGGTGAATATATACATGCCAAATTTAGAAAGGAAGAAGGAAAAAATAATTAAAAGACTGCAAGCTGAGCACTTGCATCTTATTGTAAAACTTCTCACCTCCCTGAAATTCCTTTTATTGCCCCTGGAATGTCTGGAACAGGCCGATGTCTCAGCAGAAAAGATCGAGATGGCCTTGAAACTAGCTTGCTACGACTTCTCATAGGTGATAGCACTGGTGACGATGGAATGTACAAATCATTTACAACCATTTCTCCTTGAAACTGAAACAATGGAGATGGTAGTGATCTTTCTAATAAGACATTAGTTCCATTTCCAGAATGTGTTTCTAATGCTGAACAGTCCAGGGAAGAAAGACACTCAGGGTCTGCATTAGGAAGTATGCTGAAGTTTTCTGATACCAAGTCAAATTTTTCTGTCTGTTGTTCATTAACTGTACAATCCATAGTCTTCTTTATAACCAAAGAGTCTATTTTATCAGATAATATGTCAGGAGAATTCAAATTCAGGTGTTGGTCTTCTGAAATGGGGAAGTCATGTTCACAAAGAGATAACTTATCATCTGATTGAAGACACTGGTTCTTTTCCATATGAATGTCATTTTGATCTAGACTTTCTGTGGCCTTCGCCAACTGTGCTGAGCTAGGTGTCTGAATATTTCCAGAATCAGAAAGTTCTATGCAGGCATTCTGATGAGAAGATGGAGCACAGCGATCCTTTGAAGTGTCGTCATTCCTTGTTTTATGAACATTTGCATATATTGGGATTTCTTGCATTTTTGACAAGATCATCTGTAATTTTTTTAGTATCCTTCTACGGTGTCCTGTAGGTGATATTCCAATTTCATGTAGCACACTATCATTTATTCTTGCACAGTCCTTCACAGTATAAAAACCAAACTCTTGAAAATGTAAGAGGTATTGCTCCAAATTAATGCTCATTAAGAAATCTTTGATATTAATATTTACTTCACTGACTGAGGACATAATGGCTTCATTACTAAGCTAAGTTATAAAAAGCAGCACAATGAGACCCGTACAGAAGAGGATGCACTTCTCTGCTGGTTTTTGCTTTATCACTGGACAAGTTATCTTCTCAAAACGTTATTTTCTCCACAAAGAATGTTTCATGTGCTTAGACCTGGAAAAAAATAAAAATAAGTTATTAGACAGATAAACAGATGTGTATGTTCCAAGGTACTGAACCCAGAATATTGCAAATGCTAAGAATCTACTCTACCATTAAGCTATCCGTCCAGTACAGGACATTTTAATTAGTAAAACCTGGTTTTATCTAAACTTTCTCTGAAAATACACAACCAGGAAGTCAATTTCTAGGAATAACATGAAGCAGAAATATTATGGCAGTATCAAATCATAATTTTCAAAATATTAAAAAATACTTTCTCCTAGATATAGAATGAACAGGTGTCAAACATTTCATTCATCTCATTAACTGAAGAGGGAACAAGATGGTAAGGCTGTTTCCAAGAGCATCTGTGTCTGTCACAAAGACATTTTTTTAAAAAAGCATTAGAATAAGTTAGCTATGTAAGATTCTTTTTAAACTGGTTAATGTTCTTTAGGGCAACAAATTGGTATCATTGGGGATATCTTTTCTATAAGACAAATATTTAAGAACTAACAGAAAATGTTCCATTGTATGGGCGCTAATCAAATAGTAGCCAAATCAGGCATTGGAATTAGAATTAAAATTAAATATCCGTAGATTGTGCTTGTTGGATATAGCCTCAAAAAACACTGATATTTTTGAGACTCTTCAAAAACCGGTTGAACATATTTCTCAAGTCAATAATTTTCATTTCAATAATGCAAGTACTTATACTTTTAAACATTAATAAGATTAGCTGAACAGCCAATTCTTAAATATGTTAGATAACAAGAAGCTAATATGAAAGTAAAAAGTAAAAGTTCAAAGGTCACATTTCCCTTCAATGTACACAGCAGATTTGATACCAGACACGGGATTTCTGACTTGATGTCAACTGAAATGAAAAGTCCAGCCAGAAAGTAAAAGCTTATGCTGGCAAAGTTTTAATGGAGACGGAAGAGAGCCAGGAGGAACTTCAGCTTGAGAAGAAAAGCTAAAGAGAAGTACAGCTGAGGAAAAAAAAAAAAAAAAAA